CTGGCCAAAGAGATCCCTGAGTAGCGCAACGTAGCTCTTCCACAGCACATTTACCGAAGTGATCCCAGGATAGTTGTAGAGTTGTAATGTACTTATCAAGCCGTTTCTTTTTTTCGGTGGCGGCTGTTGCCGTTGGCGCGGGCGAAGCTGCTGGCAGAGCACTTCACAACTTGCGTGTGGATGCTCAGATTTTTCCCCACCCGTAGGACTGTGGGGTTGTTAGATTTTTAGAACTTTGGACTTCAGCACGCCCGGTAGCCCAACTTAGCTCTTCCCAACACACTGGCCAAAGTGGTCCCTGAGTAGCGCAACTTAGCTCTTCCACAGCATCCTGGCGAAAGTGGTCCCTGAATAGCCCAACTTAGATCTTCCACAGCACACTGGCCAAAGTGGTCCCTAAGTAGCGCAACTTAGCTCTTCCACAGCACACTGGCCAAGGAGGTCCCTGACTAGCGCAACTTAGCTTTTCCACAGCGTACTGGCCAAAGTGGTCCCTGAGTAGCTCAACTTAGCTCTTCCACAGCACACTCACCAAAGTGGCCCCTGAGTAGCCCAACTTAGATCTTCCATAGCACACTGGCCAAAGTGGTCCCTGAGTAGCGCAATTTAGCTCTTCCACAGCACACGGGCCAAAGTGGTCCCTGAGTAGCGCAACTTAGCTCTTCCACAGCACACTGGCCAAAGTGGTCCCTGAGTAGCCAACAGTAGCTCTTCCACAGCACACTCACCAAAGTGGTCCCTGAGTAGCCCAAAGTAGCTCTTCCACAGCACACTGGCCAAAGTGGTCCCTAAGTAGCCCAGCTTAGCTCTTCCACCACACTGGCCAAAGTGGCCCCTGAGTAGCGCAACTTAGCTCTTCCACAGCACACTGGCCAAAGTGGCCCCTGAGTAGCGCAACTTAGCTCTTCCACAGCACACTGGCCAAAGTGGTCCCTGAGTAGCCCAAAGTAGCTCTTCCACAGCACGCTCACCAAAGTGGTCCCTGTTCACCAAAGTAATCCCTGAGTAGTTCAACGTAGCTCTTTGACAGCGCACTCACAAAAGTAATCTCTGACTAGTTCAACTTAACTCTTCCACAGCACGCTCGCCAAAGTGATCCTTGTTCACCAAAGTAATCCCTGAGTAGTTCAACGTAGCACTTCCACAGCACATTCACCAAAACGACCTCTAAGTATTGACACCACATTCACCAAGCTGATCCCTGAGTAGCTAAACCTAGCTTTTCCACAAATTCACAAACTGATTTCTAAGTAGCTCATCTTAGCTCTTCCACAGCAACCACAGTTCTTAGTAGCACACTCACGAAGTGGTCTCTGAGTAGCCCAACTTAGCTTTTCCACAGCACACTCACCAAAGTGGTCCCTGAGTAGCTTAGCCTTTCCACAGCACACTCACCAAAGTAGTCCGCGAGTAGCCCAACTTAGATCTTCCACAGCACGTTGACCAAAGTAATCC